GGGCATTTCATACTCCTTGTTCACTTACATACTTTGACCCACTTCTGAGCTCTTTGTTCATCGCTCAAAATAAAAATAGTCCATTACAACATGCAGCAGGTGGCTTTGGGCGGGCTAGTAGATGACATTTAAAGTATCTTAAACATTATTGACAGTTACATAGTATTCACCAGTCATTTGGTCTATAATCAAGCTAGTGTAATAAGTTGCTCATTTTGAGAATTTTTAAGCCACAATTTGCTGAGCGACGACATTTCCATTGAATCCACATTCCAAACAAACCTATTATTTGTATGATTTGTCTATTTTGCTGTTTAATTTTTGAGTAATTTGAGCCAGTAATTGATTCCATCTCTTGTGAAGCCTGGTTAAGACATATGTGTAGCGTCCCGAGACTCCCTGAAGACGAAAGAAGACACAATACTCGGGCAGAATATATATATATTCAGCACGGAGAAGGTGTCTGGGCTATTGGCATGGCCCCAAAGGCCAGCCCACCCAGCGAGGTACAAGGGGGCTAATTCAAAATACAAAAGTGGCGCCTCAACAAAACCCGGGGATAAACCACTATTGTATTGCATAGGTGATAAATCAACTTAAATTTGCAAAATGTGAGGTCATTGCTTCTGTTTTGTTCTCTAGGGTGGCTGCCGCTTAAGGGGAGGAGAGTAAAAGTGAGGACGAGAACAAAAGCGACATCCCTAGTCAAGTGAGCTAGAAAGCTATAAGTTATTGATTGATTTCTCAAAGTGGAAAAATGGCATCTTTTTGTTGATAACTGAGACTTAATGATGATTCAAACATTATTTTTAAAAAGGGGTTCAGTTGTTCATAAATGGCTAGAAAAACTGTGACAGGTAAAGCGTTTGTATTAATAACTGACTCAAGTGACCAGCGTGAGATTAACAATTGTTTTTACTAAGTGTCGAGGCCAACAAACCCTAATTTCACCTGCACTTAAACATCGCAACCTTAGGAAGATAACTGGAAGTTTTTCTCATATTCAGCTGATGCCAGTCAAGCCGGTACCAATTAATTACAGTCCTCCAAGCAACGTAGCTAACAAGTTTTCCATAAGACGACATTTATTTAGCATAAGATATTTGACATTTAACACTTCCCAACATTTAAAAAATACTTATATTAAAAGAAACTTAGTAGAAATGAGTCGGATTTCGCCAACAATCTCTATTTTACAAGGACGAATAATAACTTCTTAGTTATTGTGTTGTAGCACGTCGAAATTTTAGGTCGAGACTCATTTGTCTCCGCTTCTCTGTTCCTAGCGCTCTTAGAAGAGCTTAGTTGATTCGTTTTGGATACATTTATTAAAGAGTAAAAGATCGAGAGGGAAAGTGCAGCGTTTAAGAAGGGGGGGAACTGCAATCACTAGGCACGGAGGAGGACAATCCAGTCACCAGACTCGTATTTTCTGATTGCCTGCTCCCTGAAAGGCACATTAAAAAAACATAAGCATTACAAACATCCCTAAAGATGTCGAAGGTATAACATTAGCGCAGAATAAATATTATCGACGTAGAGAAGAGCTGGAGAAGTTTACCGGTGTATCCCAGAGGCCATGCCACTGAGGGAAGGACAATTGCAGAGCTTCTTTGTACCCGCTTAACAAAACGTGGAGTTAAGTGACACCCAAAGGATCGCAGTATCTTTGTCAGTGTGTACTGCTCCGAGTCTTCCATGGGGTCGTAAAAAGCCACAATAGCGTAAAAGAAACTATACCACCGAAATCCGAAAGGCCGAAAGTCTTCTGGTGTGGTCAAAAGGACATTGCACTAAGTAAAGGCACAATTTTAGGATCTCAAGTTGCTTGCGTTTTAAAAGCTGATTTACATGAACTACAGGTGAAAGTGTGTGGCAAATTATCTATTTCCGGCCATACTAGCATATAACTTAGGTGACTTTTATACCTTTCGACTAATTTTTATACGCAAAAATATTGAGGCCAACTTAAGTCCGTCAAGATTGTATTGCGCTTACATCATGAATCATGCAGTTAATACACAGGAATGCAGTTTCTAATGGGACTAATTGATGAATAAAGGAATCATTAAAACATAGCAAAAAATTTCAAAGTCTTTATGCAAAAGTTACATTAAAACAATTCAAAGTTATCTTTTTGAAGAATATTTATTTGACGCTGAGCTTTGTTTATATTTCCTGATGCACCTGGATGAGTATGCGAAGCTGGTGTGTACTGGATGCTAATTAACGGGTGGAGTTTGCAATGATGCGCGTCGTGCTTTGTGACAAGCGGTTGATTACTGCATTGATGGCTAGAACTGCCGTTAACAATTGTCTCATTCCATACTCTTCCATGCCTACTAAAGCGTCTGGCGATCTTATCTCTGAAATCGCAACTCAGACCCGACACGAAGATGCTCGTCTCATGCGAAAATACAAACGAAGACTTTTAATGATTTTAGGCTCCATTGACTCAGATGGGCATCTGTCTCAAGTCAGGATTACAAATGTTAGCTGATGCTGGTTTGTGATTTGAAAGCATTTTACCCTCAAGATCTTTTAGTAGTTTGTGTTAAATTTATTTCAGCTGGCTACTTCATCAGATGGTCGGATTCTGACAGTATTTTGGACCATGGCAGAAGGTTCGCACAGTGATATAACGGCTTGGAAAGTTGATAATCTTTTGCGAAATGCTAATAAGTCCATTAGACAGCGGTTAGCTCGTGAAAACGCCTTTCGCAAAGTCCCCATTCTCAACTTTATTCATTCCCCCTCGGATTTACTGGTAGGCCGTTTCTGTGCTTCATCTTGCACTAGTCAGACCCTACTGAAGACCAAGTCGACGTTAATTCCTGCCATATCGTAAAACCAAATAACGTTTATGGTCTGCCATGGGATGAGTACATGAAGGAAGTAAGACGCAACCGTCAGGACGATGCCGTGATGGTTGATAGTGAAAATATGGACGCAGATTGTCACCGAGAGAGGGGCTCGTGTCCCTCTCAAGCAGCAAATTGGGCCAGAAGGTGGCAAAAACAGCATAATGCTAAATTGGTTGCCAAACGCGAACGAAAAAGGTCTCATCAAATGCTCGGTATGTGGCAACTCAGCAAGGAGATGGAGGAGCTTGATTGATATGCCATTTTCTGTAATAATTTTGTACATCTGGAATGCTATCCATTGTCTCAAGCTGGGCTATCTGCTTGAATTGAATCTTGGGCGCTGTCAAGCTGGCATTGTTGGGTTAGTGGGAAATTTGATCCATTCACCCTGAGCTTGATACATTGCAGAGGCCGGGTAACTTGCGCCTTTAGGTTTGCTTAACAGTGCACTAGAAGTTCTTTTCTCTGTAGCATGTGTTTGTCGAGGAATTCGTCTGATCTACGGGTAGTCCGAATAGTTGTTCACGGATGTACTTCATTTTGTATTACAATGCGTATCTGAAGACGCCGAATTTTTTCTATTACTTAGTATATCGTAAGTGATCTCTAACGTTTCCTGGTCAAGTTATTCAGCCGACAGACACTTATTTTCGTCTGATAAGCTACGCTTAACAGATAGGTGAGCGAAATAGCGGTTGTTTGTCTACGGTGCAGGTACTTGTACTTCATAACGTGATTCGAATCTTACTTGATAATACATTATGGAGACATCTTTCAGAAAACAAGGTTTTTACACTTGGTTCCATGTCTACATCCTCGTTGATTGTCGTGTGGAGGAACGCAATTTAGGTTTAAGGCCCTGCATAAGCGCGTTTTTAGAGTGACACTAGGCGTTACACGATCATAGGTATTCACGATGACCAATTTGATGGCTGACGTGTGCAGATGGGAGTAAATAAAGCAACCTTATCATATTAGGTGAATATGTGCGTTTATGCTATCACCTTAAAGAATGATCTGAATTTGTAATTAAAACATTCATTGAGACAATGGAGAAAGAAATTGGGGTAGATGCTAATTTTGGTGGAATATTGCGGTACTCGAGATTTTAAGTATGGGGGAAGCTTGACTGGAAATGTCCTGGGAGGTCAGTATCCTCTTGAGGGAGGTTACGTACCAGCCGCGGTGACGCTAAGGTGATGACTGAAACCACGGGGGCACCCAAGAACTCAACTTAAGAAAATTGTTGAATAAGTGACATCATATAAGTTGATTCATATCAAGGTGTTTGAAAGATGCGGTGAGGTATTTTCATTGTTCATTTGCGTAATAGAGGAAGACCGTTGCGTTCACGGCGAAGATGGTGACACGTGGATTCAAGGGCGCGTGAATGGTGATCAATGCCACACGCCATGGCGAAGCACACCAGCATTTCCATCGATGAAGTGGAGCGAGAGCTACGTTATTTATCAACAGAATCCGACACAACAACATTCACCACCACCTCCACTCTCAACACCAGCAACGCTGAAATAGGGACGAAACCCGAGTTATCCAGCCATAAGAAACGTGAGTATCCACCGCCGCCACCAGAAAGAATTGGTCGTTTCCGATACTCTCTCTTCGTGATTGGTACATACGTGGGTCTGGGAAACTGCATCTTTTTCTGCTGCCTTCCTTTACTGGGCTTTGAAAACATTTTTCGTGCAATGGGCTACCCCCAACCCATCTCTCTTCTCTGTGCTGCTTGTCACATGCCCGTAGCTACATTCTGCATGTGTTCCTGTGTCCTCTGCAAAGTTAGACGCCAATTTCGCAAGAAGAGAGGCATTAATGGGAGCTTCATACTCGATTGCCTTCTGTCCTGCTTGTTATGCTGCTGTGTTGCTACGCAACTTCTCACAGAAGCGCGTGCTGTCATTATAGACAGGAAAAACGGAGTCAGTAAACCGGATGGGGCTGGACAATCGAAGTGATTCCTCGATTTTTAGGAGTCTATGCCAGAGTGAAATAAACCCATTCGTGCCCTAATCTCCAGAATAATATTTAGCATTATTTTGCTTGCTACTTGCCATTAGTGAGGCTCCTAATCTCCACCAACTGAGTAAAAAATACCGGTAGATTGTTAAACTCAAATGGGAACATTAAATTTCCGTCACCGCTTGGTACTTTTAATTCCATTGCTGCTAGTGTTAATCCTAAATTTTGCATTTTGCGAATGAGATGATGTGAATATATGTTCTTAAAGAAAGTTGTTTGCATAAATCACCCTTTGTAAATACAACGCGTCTAAACCTAAAGATTGATAGCCGTATGACTTTTAGCCTGTCAGGGCTTTGAAGTTATGTTTCGTCAACTTTTTCTAACAATATTTTGGTTTTCGTTAATAAAATAACACCCTTCATTGCAGATGGGATCACGTCGTTAAAATAGAGTTTCGATTATTAGATGATTTGGTCAGGTTACTTAAGGATTTCCCGAGAATAAAGCTAAATCAATCAAATCATAAGGTATTTTGTGGAGCTTACTGAAGTTCCGTAGTCTCTGATGCCATCTTTTTAACTTTGTTTCTATGTTTACGAGCTGTCTGGGAATCCAGCCTACCAGGTAATCAAAAGGTAAAACTTTAGTGTGGATGTCTGCTTTACCGCCCTAATGAATAGACAAAGGGGGTTTTGCCAGTGCCCATGGGTCTGGGGACCAGAGAGCAGCGACTGTCTGGATGTCAGGTGGTGCGCCAGCGACTTAAGCCACCCGTAATTATAGAAAGTAATTGGTCTATGATTTCAAGGCGTTATCAACACACTTAGGACACATCTCTGTCTGGTATGAGCCAACTAGAAGGGAGCGAAGGAAGGTGCGACTCTCTGGACTGCTTGGACACAAGCAAACGATTGGGATTTCGTGGAACTCGAACAGAGAACTTTTCTTCTGGGGTAACAGGCATCCAAAGCACGAATAAATAGCTTTAACTTGTTGTATTTTTGCATGATTAAAATATTTCAAATGGCGTTTCACTACTTCATTAGATACTGTTTAATTGATAGACATTCGTGATTATGATCATTCACTTGGTTGAACATGCGGATACAGGAGTCAACTGAACACTTCCTTGTGCTTAACTCAATGTAAAGTAGTTGGAAATTATTAGTAAGCGGCGATACCTTCCCAAATGCCCGAGACATGGAAAAACCTCACCCCTGATATCATGCAAACCTTCATTTCTCTCAAAGGCTGTTTGCTCGCTTGTACATGCAAGCGTCTTCTCTCACTCCCCACTTTCACAATGCAATGCGGCATTGAGGCCGGTATGCGTGTTTGAACATGGCAATTCTTGGTGCTTTTGGTTAAGGTTATTTTGCCTGCTGTGGTTTGAATGACGCGACAATTGCAAGAAAAGGAAGTTATTGGGGAAGTAAATGTTACGTAACAGTTGCAGGTGTGTGAGTGTAGAGCAGTGTCTCCTGCAGAACCTTACGCTTATATGCTGTGCATACAAAATGAATAGATGTCCAAAAATTGACATCAAAATTCACTAAGTTAGCATAGGCTGGTATAATTAGTAAGAAATTACTAGAAATGGGCTTCGGAATCGAGGTCAATGGAACCAAGACGGAGTTCCATCAGAGAAAGCCAAGACCCATAGCTATCAACTTACGGCATTCTTTCACTAGCCTGAACTCCAGGGCTTGATACAAATTTAGGGAAAAAATCTATCCAGAAAATGGAATATCAAAGACTCACTTTTACTCAGCAGCTATAATAAATTTTAAAAGAAATATTGCCATGACCCTCCACTTTGGTTTGTTTGTTTGCTTAGTCACATAGACACTAGACTCAGCATATTGTACCTCCACATAATGACACAATTCTCGCACCGGAAATCTGGAATCGTCAGGAAGTTAACAACATTGAATTTTAGGAGCACGCCTTTATCTTCTCACCAAACATGAAAATTCCAGTTAAGCAGAAGTGAATGGCGTGTTGGATGAAGTTTATTTAAAATACAAACAGTTTTATGCGTTTTTGAAATTAATGAAGATTTGCTAAATTGCTGCTAATGCAATTATTAAGCACGAAAATGTTAAAACATTAAAATGCCTTATTTACCATCTTCGTTGCCGTTTACTAAGCTACGTAAAAGTGCATTGGAAAAAATTTAGGCAAATGGGTGTAATTCGGTCGCTTGTTTTAATCCCTTTTGTTACTTTACAAAGTCAGTAAGTTCTCAAAAAAAACGGACTTAAATGGCATAGCTCTGTAAATTATAGTGTTTGATACTTGGAAAGGACCACAAATACTCTTGCCAGTTTCCATTTTTTTTTTTCTATTCCTCTTTACCAGGTCCCCCTGTACATTCATCTTTTGCCTTATATTCACAAAATGAAGTTCATGTATAAAACCGGAATGCTTAAACGAATCAACACGCAATATCTTTTAGTAGTAGACAAGCAGAAAACAAATATCACTTGTTGCTGTAAGTTCCCTTACAAGAGTTATGGCATTCCCTCAATTAAGTATACACCGCATGACAAGGGGCATCAAAAACGGCATCAAGGAGGTCACACTCGAACAGACAATAATAGCCCCAAACAGTTTCCGATGCAATTCCACGAACGAGAAGAGCTGAGGCCGTACAAATATTGAAAGGGCATGTGACCTCATGACAACTGATTTCCTGCAGGTATCATTCCTGCCAGCAAGCACTGTAATTGATGACATGTCAATTTATAGTGAAACTTATTCATATTTTTAGAATTGATTTCATGTTTATTATGATATGAGGAGAACAGTGGGGATACAAACTACAGTGCATGTAACAGGATATGGTTTGGTACGCCTCCTTTTCAAAAATCAAACCCATAATTTTTTGACATTACCAGCATACTAATGCTTAAAGCTCACGTGGAATCACGTCTACGCAATGTCTTACTGACCACCATTGTAGATGTTATTCAGAAAAGTGTAACTATTTTGCCGTTTATCTAGAGATGCTGCGGATAAGATGTCTCACCATATTTTGCGTTTTTAGAGATATGTCAATATATCATGTAAGTAATTCCAACAAGGTGTGGCACATTGTATGTTGCTTTGAGATGGCGTCCCTCCAAGTGGGTACCAATAACCACCGATATGTGGCAGAAGGATGTTTAATTATATCACGATCATTCGAAACCTCACTCATCAAAGACTTATTCATCCAGAAGTGGTTCAAAACATTTCGCTGGTAGAGAGTATCCTGTCATTGACATAAGGAAGAAGAATCGATGAAGTTGATGTTTTGAAAGACAAGTAACATGGAATTGGTGGTTTGTTAAAATAGTGGTTTAATTTATTTGCTTAAATGAAATTTGCTTTATAAGATGAGACCTAATTTTTTCAAGGTGGGTACCAACTTTTGCAAATAAAAGTGATGTTTTACCCCGCTTGTCAACATAAGCTCTATTAAAAAACTGATTCCTCGCGTTTTGTCTACTGTGTCCGGCATATTTCCCGATTATGTCCCATTAGCTTTGTTTTAAAAAAGCACAAAATACTGCTTAATCCTGAATCTTAGTAACAACCGCCGTATTTTTCGAGTGATATTTCCCTAAGCTCAAGTTGATTATCATCACTTGTATTTGTTAGTTGACAATGCTATGATATTGGGGTAAAGGGAGCTTAGATTTCTTCAATAGGAGTGGAATAGAAGTGGGAATTTCTGGGGCCACGATTTTTTTGGCATCTCAATATAGACTGTTTAGTGAAGATGGAGTGGGTAGCTAGCTAATCTATTGTTTTGAATAGATAGTGCAATAAACGCTTCAGGAATGTATCTCCAATTACTGGTTACGTGACCAACCACTGCATCTTATATTGTGTGTCTTGATAACAGCTACTTTTATATTCCACTAACAAATATCAAGTACACAGATTTTATATTTTGTTTACTTTTCTCGTGGCAGTTATTGCGGCTGCCTCCCAAGCAGCTGATGCAGGCTTCATTCAGGCTTCCAGTGGGTGCAACATGGCCCTTTCCTTTTTGAAATTGCTCACTTACAGCCATCATCCCCATTCTGGTTAATTTAAAATTTCAGAGTACGAATTTTGTAGTTTTAATTAAACTAACTACTTATTGTCGCATTTATGTCAACCGCTATTTTTAGGCATTTGATTAATTAAGCTAATGCTAGAACTAGTCAAGCAGGAAGTGGATGGTCCTATTTTTCTTGGAAAATTTGATTTTTAATATCAATTTTTGGCTAAGAAGGAAAAAGGGAAGAGAAGAGAAGGTAAAATACGTGACAAACCTCTGCCTTGTATGACTCTCCTATTTTACACCCCTTTAGTGAATCAAATGTTTTATCTAAATAGAATAGACGTTCGGTAAACAAAGGCGAGATGCAAATAAAGGTTACCAGGGCCAACATTCCTCGGTCTCTATGAATAAAGTACTTGAAGAAACTAAAAAACGCATTTTGCTGTTCAACAAATGACGCACTAGCAATATTTCCTTAAATGTTCCTTTTCCAAGTCACTGTAAGGACAGATTTGGGAAACCTTTTTAGGGAGTTAGTATAGTGTTTGTTCTTTCTTCTACATGTGTTTGTCCCTGCAATCCGTGTCACTTTATGAAATCACTTATACTGAAGCTGTGGCAAAATACATTCTTGAGCATATTTTGTAATGTACGAATAAAATGTGCACGTAGTAATGTTGGGTTTTGTGAATGGCAAATGGCAAAATTGTCCCTTTGTAACTGGAGGGATATTCCTATTTTCTGGGTTTGTTTTGTTTTCATCGAAATATGGAACAAATTTCCAGCTCGCATTTGACAAGCGCCCTCTTTCAGATGCCTCATTTGTACCATAGTCGGCAGAAAGCTTATACTGCCCTCACCACAATGTGTCGGTCTTTTGGCAGCAGGCAAAATGAACTCGATGTTTGAAAATGCAGTGCTGTAACGCATTCTGGCAGCGTCTTGGATGCTCCCGAG